GCCCTCAAAAAGTGGCTTTAACCGACTTCAGCAAGGCTGGCTGCTGTGTGTGCTTAGGCTTGAAGTAGATCAGAGATCTGCTCGCCCTTCCCATACCCGGTGTGCAGGGGGAAGCAGCGCTCGTGGCTAAGGCGGCCCCTGAGACAGGCGCTCAGCCCTGGGAAAACAAGATATCACTCAAAGCATCCTCTGCATTAGAGAAATGTGTTTAAGCGTCGGGCTGAATGTGGGAAAGGTGTGTGGTGTGGGAAGAAGGGACATGCATTATTTCAGTTAGAGTTATCAGGTTGAAAATCCTTCATCTTCTGCTGACAAACTGCACAGGAGGAAGAATGAAATGTTTGCTCTGGGTCAGGGAGTGCCATAGGATCTACTGACGTTGGAAAATGTCACGTTTCTACTCGGGTTATTTTCACACCAAGAATAGAACCAACCGTGCTTATTGTGAATGTTATTTTAATGACCACTGAGAGAAACCAGTGGGTTGGGTTTCTTTTTTTGGCGCCGTTTTCTGCCGCTAAGCAAACCCTTTGTTGCCCAGACAATCAGCTGGCGGGTGGCTGCGTGCCTGCGCTCAGTGCTGCGGGCCGGGAGCGCGGGGACTGCGGGCAGCTCTGTAGCACAGCTCAATGCAGTGCGTGCACTGGGCTCCAGTCATCGAAATCCATCCCTGCAGGAGATGTGAGCGCGGTGCGGGCTCAGCCCCCGCACCCTTGCACAGCTCTACGGCCCCGGCTCGCCTGACTGTGCGCGTTGTACTCAGTGCTGCCCTCCGTGAGGCTATTTGTGCTGAATGGCAGCAAAGGGGTGGCAGTCCGACCCACGCAGTGTTTCTGGGAGTGTTCCACATACTGCAGGTTTGCTTTTTTGTTAAACACAGTAATGCTGTGCCGATGCAGTGGCCAGTTCAAGACGAAATACGTAGGGGAAAAAAAACCGAATGTAGCTGCAGTAATTCACTCCTGATGTAGTAATTCACGCTCTAAAGAGAGATCCTTACTAAGTAGGAAGGTTTGATAATTATTCTGTCACTGTTCCTATTGTTTAGTAAAAAAAAATCATCCCTATTTTTGCTCACAGTGTGCACACTTTGATATATCTATTCCCTGCAAATTAGGTACTAAAACACTGCCAGTATATTTTTCCCCATGAGCATACTGTTCAAGTGAATTTTGGGTGGAAAGTTCACAAGGCAGAATGGGTTCATTTTCTTGCGCTTGCTGTGTAATACAAAGCTTCTCTCATCCAGTGTGTTGCTACTTGGCTGCATGTGTAACAGCATTGAGCAAAGGAAATATTAAAGAAATACACTGTAATTTTTGTCAAGATAAGAAACAAAAAAATGTTATGGCAGCTCCTGTCTTCATATATAATAGCATACTAATTTTTTTTTATCAATGAGAAGACCTGTAAGATGCTTACATTTGCATATAAATGTATTCTTATATATGAATAATATTCTTGCAAATAAATTTTTAGAGATCTTGCTGGTGCATAACTTTGCATTTCTTAGTTGAAACATTAGAAAAGGACAAGAGAATGTTTTGCAGGCTGCTGCTGGTAAAAATAATTCTCCTGGGGATGCAGGAAGAGGCCGCAGGAAGGGCTGTTGTCGTACATAGGTTGTGCTGTACTTGAGTGAGTGAAAGGGATGGACGTTGTGCCTTGCTAAGCTGGTGAGCCTTTATCTGGATCTCTTTCAGGCTGAAGCATGGCAAGGTGCTCAAGCAGTCTGTGGTGCTGTTGGTGAAAGATAGCTAGTGTTCTTTTTTTGCCTTAGTTCTCTATTAGGTGATGGGTTTGCTCTCTGAGGCGTTGCAAAGATACACTGCCCTCAGCAGTCAGTTTCCCTCTCCTGGACAGCCAACTCACTGCTTGTAACGGCTGTGTGTTTCCTGCCTGATGGCCCCTCATGCTGAAGTTACTCTGTCATCTCGTGTGATCAAAATATCGTTAAGGATCTGGCTTGAAGTTTCATCAGTATAATGATAGTGATTGACTTTGTTTTGTTAGATAGCAGAAACATCAGTGCTGTCAGTAAACTTGAATAAATGCTGAAACTCTAGGTAAGCTAAAATAGTTATTAGGGACCATTTGGCTACAGAGTGGATGGCTTTGGTGGCTGAAATTCAGACTATTATGATCGATGACCCTGAACCCGAGGTTTCTTCTCACCTTTTTGTTCTGTCTGTAAGATGGGTCTAAGCCACCCTGGAGCAGGGCCTCCACGACTCGTGCATTCCTGGGTCATCCTGTTGGCTCCGCAGCGAGAGACGAAACACTGGACTGTCTTGCTGCAAGTGAGCTTAATGCATGGACGGACCGTTAGAGGCGTGCAGAGGGAAGAATCCAAACGGCACTGATTTTAACACATGCCAAGTCTGCTCAGATGGAAGAGGCATGTTTAGCCATGCTTGTCATCTACAGTTGCCCAGCTGCCTTTGGTCCGGCCTCCCTGCTCATGTTTTCTCTCAGCTCACGTCCTAGCTGGGCGCGCAGCACACCGAGCCGGCAGCAGAGCCCTGCTTGCACAGAGCTCCTGCTCTGCACTGCACCGCCCATCTGCTGCCTTCCCTGCTTGCTTTCCGGTTCACACTTTTTGTCATCGGCAGAGCAGTTTTTTGTTGTGTTAGCTAATGCCCATTTAGCTGACCTAGACTTTTGATTGTTAGAAACTGCAAATGAGCCTTTAGATGGCTAACAGATACTTTTGCAAACAGAAGAAAAGAGGCTTTTTAGTAGAGGGGGAGTACTCAGCTTTAGAAGAGCTGGAGGAACGTGATTTCGCAAATGTATCTCACAACAGTACACTAATTCTTTGTCTGTCTCCAGAGGCCTCGGCCCAAAGGTAGCTGAAATTCTATACCATAATTGCATTCTTTCAAAATTGCAGCTATAAGAGACCATAGTTGTTTCCAGAAAAATGTAAAAAAAAAAAAAAAAAAAAAAAAAAAAAAAAAAAAAAAATGGGATGTGCATTTTTCTGGACATACGTAGCATATGTTAGCATTCAGTCATAGATTACTTCATTAACCTTTGCTCTTCAGAAGCCTCGAAAAAGAGAAGCATTGGAAGGCAAACTAGTCAGGGGGACAAGCTGAGGGTTTCAGGAAAGGTCAGGATCTGTAGAGTTATGTCCCCAGCCTCTGCTCCGACAAACAGCTCCTGCTCTGTTTCTCCACAAAGAAACGGGCTGTGCAGGTGCTGCAGAAGCTGCTTGTTCTTCGTATTTCTTTTCCTGTATGTTACAGTGCTTCTGCGTGGTTTGCTCATTCAGAATGTTTTCTTGATTTTGAATGGAATCTATAGTAACAACAGGAATAAAAAGAAAACAACAGATAAAATGTATCAGACTTTTTGAATGTCTGTGTTAAAGGCAATGGAAGGAAGGATACTTGAGTGACTTGAGCCTGAGATGCTGACAGAGTAGCTTATCAGTGCACCTAGGTTTGATTTGGCTGTAGCTGTTTGATTTTTTGTGCTGTATAATTTGACATATTTTGGTATCCACCTAGTGACAATAATAAACAGACTGCAGCTGAATGCAGTCTATATTCTGGATTCAATTTTAAAAGTGACTTCTCATGGCCAGGTTGTAAGCCTTTAAAATATGGGATCGTAATAGAAACGCTGACAGTACCTTAACAGTCTCTGTGATAGTGTTTCTCTAATGTAAATAAATGGTGCTGCAGGCCTTTTTATTTCCTCCCTCCCCACTTAATTCCAAAGATGGTTTTATCATTCACCAGCTAGGAAACAATCATTTTGTGTGCCTAACCTGCCAGATTGTAGTGGGTTTTTTCTTTCCCTCCTCCTCTTTGGATGTGAAGTAGAACGGGACAAATAGAAAAGATTTATGCTGTACCTGTTCCGTCCTTTAGCGTAGCTTATCCAGAAGACTTCACTGCTGTCCAATGCTATTATGTGCTTAAGTTCAGAAAGCGTGTAAATAAAGACCTTCAATCTGAGCCTTGAAATAGATGATCTTTAAAGAAAATGACATGAGAGCATAATTAAAAGGATGGTCTCTAAAGTTCCTATATATCCTGTATGTTGCACTGACAGAAATTAAACCTTTTCTCCATGAAACACTAGCAACACTAGAAAGTGAAAAATACCGAAGCCAAAAATCCATTCAACCCAAACCAAGCGAAAAACAAAAACCCCGAAAGTGACAGCAGTGATTTAAACGATACCTGGGGAAATGCTCATCTGTTACATTCGTTTAAAACTCCCTCTTCTAAAGCCCGTGTTCTGAGTAGCAATTGCATGGAGATGGGGAGCAGGTGGGGCACGTTGTCTTCTGTAAGGGAGGTTATGCTGGAGATAGATACCTGTAAGCTGAGGGCAAAGCTCTTAGGGTGGGGAAGGGCTGGAGCACACAGACATGAGGGCAGAGCCTGTTCTGCAGATGGGCAGGTGCAGTGCCCGGGATTTCTGCTCTCTTCCGACTCTGGAAGCGCCCGGCAGAGTGGAAGCAGCCTGATTCACCGCAGCTGCTGCAGAGCTTCCTGTAATTACGGGTCTAATTGAAGCGTGTCTGGTATTCCTGTGTTTCACCTGGAATTTTGTCTTAGAAAGTCTACAACATGCTGTTATTATCTGGCGCTAGTTGTGGCTTTCTCTTCGGCTATTTCCTTGAGCTAAAAATGCAAAATTGTACTGCCCTGAAGGGTCATTTAGCGGGACTTTTAATGAAATAATAGGAGCATTGCACTCCAGTGATTTCCCCGTGTGGGGAAATGTCACAGTCCATCGGCCTTTCCTGAGAACGCTGCATGAAATTACACCTATTTTCATTACTGCGCTCGAGTACAATATTGTTAAGTAAATATTTGCACCAGAATGTGACTATCCTGAGGTGCGAGCATCCCACAAGGTGAATAATTAAAGGATGTGCTTTCTCCAGCAGAGAAACTGGTGCTTGATATAGGTTTGATCATTTCACGTGTCTCTTTTGTAATCCATAACTGTCTTCTGCAATTATTTTCATTGTCCAGCCATGCAGAGATAAAAGGTAGAACATGCCTCTCTCGACTGCTCCCAGGGAAACTCCATTACCCTTCAAGGACCACGTGGCAATGGCAAGCCAATCTGAGGGGGAAGAGGCAGCCCGCAAGGACGAGCTCAGGATGAGCAGAAAATGAAGTTGTTACCAGACAGCAAACAGCAGCCTTCGGTTCTTATGAATATTTGAATGAGTAACTAAAAACAGCTCAGTGGACTCTAAGCAACTGTGACAGCTGAAACTGCCTGGGAAACTAGCAGTCTGCAAGGACTGTGAAGAAAAGATCAGCACTGCATTTTTACCTACACCTCCATCGGTGTATTCTAAAACTTTAGCAGATTCGTTGTCCCCAAATATTTGTTAGAAAACAAAAACTCTGTGTGAATTTTCATAAGCGAGGTACCTGCAGAATCTGTCTAGAAATTGAGAATTCATTAAAATACAATGATTTCTAACAATTTACTCGAGGCAAGAGAATAGCCACATTTTCTAGACATTGAAATATTGATGTTGCTGTTGCTTATACTCATAGAAAATTGGCCCTAGTGAATCTTTCATGAATATCTTTCAGCTGGTTCCACGTGGAAAGAAAGATGATGAGGACAGTTTCCCTGAAGCTGAAATATTCTGAATAATCTGCAAAAAAAAAAAAGTGGGGGGAGGGAGGGCAGGAACTGTAACAAGCAAACCATCGCAAGGTTACTCGCTATTTTACAGCAGTTGAAAAGCTATTACAGCAGTTCTGATGGCATAAGGCAACTATCTCTCTTTTTCATGGCAGACTTCATTTTTTTTTAAATGCAGTTTTCTGACTCTGATTTTTTATTTTTTTTTTTAATGTGTATTAATTACCAAGCTGCATTTAAAAAAGCTTTTGTTGTGACCTTCCTGGCTATGCAGGTCAGAGTTAATGTGTCCTCTCTGAGTTCCCAGCACAGTTTACCAATGTCATTGCTCTTTACCAGGTTTTTCTCACTGGGGCTGCCTGTGTGAGGGTGTATTGCAGAACTGATTTGCTACCATGTTTAAAACGCTGCTCTGGAATCAAGTTGAGTGACATCTTCCTCATATATATATATATTTTTTTTTTATTACAATTTCAGGTTTATACTATAAATCTGACTTGAGAACCAGATGAATTGTTCAGATAAAATGTAACTGGCGTGCCATATATGAATAACAAAGAAAGAAGTAGGCATTTAAACAAAGATGAAGAGCCTTTTCAACAAGAACTGAAATTACGTTTTTCAAATGGCACTTCATTCTGACACGTGTACCATTTTGGAGCAGTGATGTTGGCATCAGCATAACATCTGCAGGGCTGAAAAAGAGCTCAGAGAAACTGGTGCTGCCACCGAGGTAGCTGTGTCTAACCTTTTCATAAGAGTTCATCCACAGCGATGTCGGAATAATTGCTCCTGTTAAAACAGACAAAGATTGGCTGGCACACCTCTTGAACTGCTGCCCAGACCTCTTCTCTATGAGCTTGGGAATTAGAGTGCCACAGTTGAGTCATATTTCTTAGTTTGCTCTGCCTTTGCTCCCCTGGAAGGAGTAGGTCTGGTTCCACCTATTCTGTCAGTACTCTCAAGGAAACGACATATGTAGGATATTTCCTGGCATATGTAGGATAAATCACAATTTGGGCTACAAGTCAGCGACAGAAATGAATGAAGAATTCTGAGCACATTTCTCTTTTAAATTTTGTATCAGTTGTGATATTTGTAACACTGTTTTGCTATTTATTTTGGTTACCTCACTAAAACTTTACCTGTTTGTGGTTAACTGATGAGATCTAGGTTGCTTTTTGGCATAATTACTTTCGTTCACCTTTTTGCTGTATGTTATGTGGTTAGTAATTTGCAGTTTTGTTCCTGCAAATCTGATGACAGCTTTTGTGGACAAGAGAGGACTTTACAAGGAAGAAAAAAGAGAGGTGGGGGAAGATGGGAGGAGAAAAAAAGAAAAAAAATTTTCTCAAACCACTGGAATTATAGGACCCATAGCAGAGCAAATGTGTAAAGGATGCTTTCTTGGTCTGCTCCTCTACTCTGTTAGCTTGAGACTGGTCTTCTGGATTATTTCAAGTGTTTCTAAGCTTGGCTATACCTTTATAAGCAAAGGTTATTAAATGCCACAAAATGCCACAGGCCATGGGCTCGAGTAGGTCTAGAACAGAACAGGACTTGTCTGGAAAGACCTGTTGGCAATAAAACAATGCTCCAAAAAGGAATGAGCTGAACTGCTGTTGGAAAGGCTGTAGTTCCTGCCTCTGCTTGTCTGGGGCAGAAGTGTCAGCAGTGCTTAGCAGTGACCTGGTTTCCTGCTGAAGGACGCGGTGCAGACGGAAGGCTGATGCCCCCCTACGAGGGCCCATCCTGCCCTTTGCTTCCCAGCACATGTGAGCGGTTCCCAGGTTGATGCAGTTGCTGCTGAATGTAGCCCTCTCCCAGGAGCAGCGCCCGGCTCTGCTGGAAGGTGCAGGTGGTGACACAGCTGCCTCTTGCTCCCTTGGTACCTTGGAGCTGCAAGCAGAGCCCCCAGCCAGGGCCACTGTCATTCCACTTATGCTCCTTTCTGTTGCTACTGCTTGTTGCTGATTACTGGCCTGTTGTTGGTGAGCCCCTTCCTCTTGAGGAAATCTCTCTGGGATTGTGGGTAGTTCATTCTCTAAATTTAAATGTGTACCTTGGTGCAAGAAATAGGCCCAGCAAAAGTCTCCACCATCTGCTGTGGATGGGTACAAGGACACTCCTTGTGAGAGATATGTGAATGACAATCTGTGCCCTGGCACTTGGGTGCAGGAGCTTCAGGATGCTGTATGTTGGCACATATGCACACAAGTATGTGTACAAGTGCAGATTAGTGCAAATACAACTGAAGGCAGGGTGATGTCTAGCATCGCTGTCCTATGTGGGTCTGTCAGCAGCCCATCTGCGCATCCATCTTCCTTTCTCCAGAAACGTGCTGTGAAGGCTGATGGCCAGAGCTGGCAGCTCCAAGTTCCTGCCTGCATCACCTCTGTAGCTGTATAGATTTTCCTGAATTCATCCTTTTCCAGACCTGCAAAAACTGAACTGCTATTAAAACAAACAGAAAAAAAACCCAAAACAACAACCAAAACCACCTAAGACAAATTCCTTCCTTCTAAAAACAAACAAACAAGCAAAAATACCCCCACAAACAAATAAATACAGAGTTTAAAAAAAAAAAAAAAAGTCCACAAGAATCACTTGCTAATCTGATGACATAACTCTTCAAAGCCACCAGGCATCACTGTTGCACCTCTGCCTGGGCATTCTTCATTCTGTTAAAAGCTGCAGATTATCCTGTTAATTAGTTGGGGATTGTTTTTTTAATCAGTATTTATGTCATTGTGGGTCACTGCCTGCATACAGGACTGCACACCCAAAGGGATTATTTTGTCAGTTTACAGCCACCCTGTTAGCTCTGACCACGTCTTGCAGAACACAGAGGATGCATATTCTTGGCTTTTCTTTGATTTATTTAGCTATCTTTCAGCTGTCTTTTGCTTCACCTGTGTCAGCCTACACACGGGAGATACAGGTGTGCCTAGCTGCACTGCACTTCAGTAGGTGAGGATGGAAAGGACACAGGAGCAAAGGCTTACATTTACAGGTACTTCTGTGAGATGAGCTGTACAGTGAGTTTGTGGTGATGGGTGGTGCACAGAAGCTCTGTCGAGAAGATGAAGGATACCTGGTGCTTTCCTACCTCCTTGCTTGGGCATCCGCTGAAGGAATCTTTCCTTTCTGAAGCATTCTCAAATTTATTAGGCAGAAGTGTGCAAAATAACTGTTATAAATAAGAAAGTATTTGAAATGATTTGTATTTTATTTTCTAGCTTTTTAAGCAGCTAAGGAAGTTCAGCTTTATTCTGGGTGTTTTCCCTTTCTCGCCTCTCCATTCCTGGTCCTGAGTTTCCCAATGGGATGTTGAAGGCAGTGCTGAGGCTTCACAAACTGTAGTGGCAATGAGAAATAGGTCCTTAAAAATAGCTTTTCTTTGTTTCATGTTTTTCTGGGCAAAGTATTCTTTGCTTTTTTGTTCTCCTTCTAGTAAACGAATGCACCAGGCTTGACAGTAGCTGTTATGCAGTTACCTGGACCCGCACCTACCAGGAGGCTCGCTGCCACCAGCGGCTTTCATTTCACCGTGACAGGAAAGCAGTGCTCCTGAGATTTCAGTGTCTCAGGGTTATGCTGGAGTAGGGTCTCTTTGGGCGTGCGTTAGTGACCTGAAAAAATAAGGATTTGTATCCTGCTCTCCACTGGAGACGCGTTTCAGCAGTTACTGGTGATTCTGGAAGTAATTTCCTCTGAGGTTTTCTTGGTTTTGTGCACAAAAAACAAGATCTGAGAGTTGTTTTGTAGCTGCTACATTTTATTTTTCCTATAGGAGACAAAAGCCCGTTTCCTTTTGATATCCTCTTACTAAATTCTGGAAATACTTTTATTTTAATAGCCAACAATGGAGATTTTTCTCTCCGTGGTTCTTCACACACAGAGGGATTTTGTTTTTAAGGTTCAGTGACATAGTTTCTGCTTTACAATACTTGATTATTCTTTGAGTACAGAATAGACTGGGGGATGGAGTTCCTAGTCCCTTGCTTCTAATTTCCATTCAAAGTAGCCCTTCACAAAAATCAAAATTAAAAAGGATTCTTTGCATGAGTGGGAAGATGGAGTTACTGACTTTTTGCCATAGGAGTCCATCACTCACTGCTCACGTCTGTAGCAGTGGGACTCAAAATGAGATGATGGAACAGGATTGCTGTATCAAGTCTAAACAATTACTCTGAAACTGGAATCCCTGTAAAATAGGGAAGACTTAGCTCTACTTTAGAGGTGATAAGTGTGTAGATACTCGTTACTGATAACTGGGGATTTAATTGCTGTAAATCTTTTTTCTAAAACAAATCAAACAAAATAGGCCCCAAAAGGGCTTTTATTTTTCTCTTGGATCTTAATTGTACAATGTAGAAATTCAAAATAAAGCATGCAAGATTGTTGTGTGTATATATATGTAAGTCCCATCAGAAATCCCTTTATGATTAAGATGGGCAAGGAAAGTTTGGCTCCACACTTTCTTCGGAGGATAAAAGGGAATCTGATTTGTCATTTGAAAAGGACATGAGGTGCCTTGAATGGCAGCTTTCTAGAGTACCAAAATCATTATATCCTTTATTAATTGGGATGTCAGTGTATAGCACTGAGGGCACTTCTGTATTCCACTCCTCTATTGATGTTGCTGCATGCCAGCGTTACTGAAGATGGTTGAGAGGAGAAAGTATTCCGTGTGAAGCTGTGCAGCGGTAGAAAGGGAATAACCTGAAGGAAAAATAGAAAGAAACAGGAACAAGTTCAAGTTGGGGATTATTACTTTGGGAATTAACAGCCAAAAGCAAAGCAGCAGTGAGGTGAAAGCAAGCTAAATACTTGAGAGCTACAGTCAGACCATGCAAGAAGGCTTGTCGAGACATGACAGGGCTGACACGTTCATCAGCTTTTTGCCAGGAGTGATGGAAGTGCCTGGATGGGAATGGTATAGAATGTATGTTCTATGCCACGTATGCAAAACAAAAAATAAAAACCAACAACAAAATAATCTGGTTTAACAAGTGGCTTGGAGGCTGATCCAGCTAAACTGGTGGGGATCCTTGACATCAATGCTTCTAAGTAATTGTGCTTGTTCTGGCAAACAAATCCAAGCTTGTTTCAGCCCTACTGAGGTGCAGCTGTCTTTACCCAAGTTAACTAGATTGTTTTAAACCACAGAGCTGCTGGATGCAGCCCTGATGGTTGAGCCCGTGTTATAAACGCAACTGCTCTGCCGACTTCAGGTGAAGAAAGTACCCCCAATGGCTTGAACTGCTTTCTTATTGCCACTTAAAGGTGCCTTTGGTCCCATGCTGTGCTTCTCTTGTTATGATGTTGCAAGGTATTGCATCTTTTCTCCTCTCGATGCTGAGTGGATGCATCTAGTGCTACTGCTGAATGGGCTCTGCTTTCAGGTGGTGCCCTGCTGCCCGTGGGCTGAGCTCTCAGTGGCAGCAGGCTGGGTGTTCTAACTCTCCCAGCAAGTGGAGCTGCAGCAGGGCTGTATGGCCGTGCTGCTCCCTCTGTCGCTCCACACGTCTCTATGCTGGGAGAGACTGATTTCACTTGGAGCTTGCTTCTTTCTCAGCTCCCATCAGGCTCCCTTCTTTGCCCCTCTGTTGTGTTCGAGGCAAAGATGGTGAATGGTTTCTATGAGATAACCTTCATGCCATACTGAATGCTCCTTAGTGCTGCAGTCACATGGGGAGATGTTTGCATCTGCAATGTAAAGGACATGCTGTATTCAGTGAACAAGGGGAGGAAATGTCTGTACTGCCACTGCTATCTGTAAGGGCTGCTGTTCATGATTAAAGGCTGAGTTTTCTCACCTCAGAGACATTCTAATGTCACAGATGGCGCGCTTTAGTTTATGTGGGGTGAGAAGACACACTGAAAGAGGATATCGCAGTTAATGAATTAAATAGTATCAATAATAATAAGAGATAACCGAGCCAGAAAGACGGAGAGCTGTTGGAGAGGGTCCAGAGGAGAGCCACAGAGGTGATCAGAGGGCTGGAGCATCTGCCCTACGAGGACTGGCTGAGGAATCTGGGCTTGTTCAGCCCGGAGAAAAGAAAGCTGCAGGGTGACCTCATTGCAGCCTTTCAGGTACGTAAAGGGAGCTTGCAAACAGGAGGGGAGTCAACTCTTTGAAAGGGTAGATAACAACAGGTTGAGGGGAAATGGTTTTAAGTCAAGGGAGGGATGATTTAGGTTGGATGTCAGGGGGAAGTTCTTTACTATGAGAGTGGCAAGGTGCTGGAATAGACTGCTCAGGGAGGTGCTCCATCCCTGAAGGTGTTCAAGGCCAGGTTGGATGGGGCCCTGGGCAGCCTGGTCTAGTATTAAATGTTGAAGTTGGTAGCCCTGCCTGTAGCAGGGGGGTTGGAGATTCATGATCCTTGAGGTCCCTTCCGACCCTGGCTATTCTGTGATTCTATTAAGAGTGATTCAACACTCTATATGCATGATTCAGTATAATTTATCCAGTGCTTGAATCTGATCTTCAAAGTCATCTTTTTACGTGTGGATTCCCTAAGTGTGCCTATGGAACTGCTATTTACTGTATTTTTACTCCTTCATCTCCACTGCCCTGTAAATACAAACTGCAGATTTCAAAATTCTTCTCCTTTGTCACTTACTGTACATGATTTATTTCTTGCTAGGACTGCAAATCAGATGCTCTGTCTTTTCAAAGGTTACTTTTCCACGGGAGGAGTGATGAAGCTGGGCAAATGACACTGTATCTCATGCAGAGTATCCTCACAGTGACTCATGCTAGCGCTGACATTGCCGGTACTTCCTGGAGCATTGCAAACTCTGTAGCTGTATCAGGAAGCCATCTGACACCTTGCTGCAAGATGTTTGTTTGCACTGTGCTCTAAGCAGCTGTAAATAAACATCTTGCAACAAGACAGTGCTTTTGCCTTTAATTCGGGAAGAGGGGAAGATTCAAGCTGTTTTCTTCAGGCTGCTTTTATGGTGCAGTCTGTGCTAAGTGGTTGCTGCTGCATCTGCTTTGGAACAGACCAGGGACTGCTCCTGGACTAGGTGATCTTAGTGGTCTTTCTCAGCCTTAATAATTCTATGGTTTTTGCAGGTCTGGTTTCTTCCGGAAACCCTTGAAACTCCTCACCTTAATCTGGGGATGATTAAGATGCTTCATCCCTCTCTTTTTAGGTCAAGAATCTCTTCGATGTAACCTGTTAAGAGCTGAACTGATATGAAGAGAGAAGTCAACCCCCAGCCCTCCCACTGCCAAGTTCTTGCCAAACCTGGTCTGTGCCCACCTGTAGAGAAAAGCATGAGGCCCCAGCCTCACCAGCCCTCTCGTTCCTCATGCTGCTGGTCCAAAAGCCAAACACAAGAGGAAAGGATCACGTTTCTCTTATCTTTTTTTAATTGCTTTTAACTTGCCCTGGAATTTCTGCATTGCCAGCATCACTCTAAGAATTTAAGAGCTGGTAATTCATCCATAGGTAGTATTAGGTATAACTTATACCCCTATGTTCATTCCTTTCGCTTTTCACTCATCTCACGTCCCCTGGGTAAAGAGAGTGACATTCACAGAGAGAGAGAAGTTAGGTCAAAACTGCTCAATTTTCCTCCAGCGCTAAACTTAGCTGAGCGAGTCCTGAAGGACAGGTGTCTACTTTCTAGAAAACAAATGATATATTGATTTCCTGTTAAAAGCAAGCACTGACAGGAGCATTCAAAACAAAAGCCTCCTTTCAGCAGAGCATTTAAATATGGGGCTGCATAAACAGGAGCGCCGTGCTGCTGCCGCAGCCCATCGGCGCCTGGCTCCAAACCCTGCCTTGGAGGAGCACAGGGCAGCTGTCACAGCGGGCGCTCCTTGCGTGTCCCGGGCAGGCTGCTGTGAGCTGCAATTGCACAGCAGCTCCTGAGTCTGCACTGGCTTTTCTTTCCTTTCTGTCGTTTCTTTTCCCTTCTTCACTCCCAGCTCCATGCAGATGCTTTAGTGCAAACATCAGGATTCCTATCGAGTCTTCCTCCATTTAGCAATTATAGGGATGAGGAGAAGGCAGTAAGATTATTTTTTTATATAACCAATTTTATTTCCCTTTTTTCCACTACTAAATGCTTGTGTGTGCAGCAATACTCATTTCCCAAAATCCCATCCAAGCAGTTCCCCAGACAAAGACAAACAGAAGTAATGTATTTCTGTTTTTATTCCTCTCTGATGAGCAGCAGTGCTCTGTGTGCTTTCCCATTCGAAAGCACGTTTGGCTCGGTTAATCCACTCGTGTCTTTGCCCACGTGCAGGCATGCTGAGTACTGCCAGTCTGATTGATAGTTCTTTAGTGGCTGCTCATCCTGTAGCACAGAACAGGAGGCCTTACCCTTGTTGTTTCACTTGCTGTGCAGGCGCTGGGACTGACTGCCCCCATTGATGCTCCCAAGGCCTGTCCTGCTGCACTGCAGCCTCAGGCAGTCCCCAAAGCACCCTGCAGTGCAGCAAATGAGACCCTGCTGTGATTGCTGAGAGCTATACAAGAAGGAGGGAGATGAACTTTCAGGTATTTCTAATTTGGAAATACCTATACCTTGCTCCAAGCAGATAGATATTTTACTTAAAATTGCAGGAAGCTATAAAACACTGCAAAATGATGGCAAAAGGATTGCAACCGTTTCTTAAATAGATGAAAGGGTGCTTCAAAGCCTATTTGTTTAGTCAGTTTCTCTTTTCATCTTTGATAATTATTAAGAAGGATGAAATAGCATCAGTAGGCAGCTTGTGGATGACAGTCTTTTTTAAAAGGAGCCTTCTTTAAGCAGAGGTGCTCCCTGCAATCCCGCTGTCTCAGGAGCGTAGCAGAGCTGCATGTGTGCACACTGACTGACTTCAGAAGTATTGCCATCATTTAAAAAGAAAACATAACTGAATAGTTTTAGAAATTGTTTTATTAATTGAGGGGTTTCATTTTCAGACATCTTTTTTTTTGAGCCCATTGTAATGCAATATGTAAGTTTGGTAAATAGGAATGCTATTAGTGTTCATGTAATAGTTCACTTGAAAACAATTTCATTAAGTTGTAAAATTTCTCTGCTCTCCTATGTATTGTACAGTATGCAGTAATACTTAAAAATGTGTTTTTAGCCATACAATTGAACTTTCGTATTTTGCATAGAATCTCAGATCTTGTTTTTGATCCTCCAAGTGCTCTCATGATTATTCCCATTTTTACACTGAGAGTGCTGAGAGAACTTCCTGGTTTGGATGTTTTTTTCTTCTTGGGGGATGTTGGTCATCTTTAGAAGTTAGAATACCATGTGCCAGGCAGTGAATTCACCATTGTGATGTCTTTACACTCACTAAATATCAGATGTTCCAGTTAAAAAAAAAAAAGAAAAAATTAAACAGTGTAAAGTTTACATTTGGAAATGTTT